AACTTTTTTAAAATTTAAATCTACTAATTTGACTATTTTATTTAGTAGAATTTGACTAATTATTAGTGACTGCTTTTTTGCTATGACAATAAGTCAAATATGACTTATAATTAGTTATTTTTGAATAATTCATTTTAAGAGACCATGATCTGGAAAAACAACGATACCGGCTTACTAAGGTATTCCGTATATTCCATAAAACAAGTTTTTGAAATATCTGTCGAATTATTTACGCTCTTGTGATGTTAATGTTCAAAATAAATTTAATAGGAAAAAAAATGGCGATACCATTTTATTTTTACATTTTTGGTTAAAACTAATTTTGGAATGCACACAATCATACTTTCTCTATGCACAGAATGCAAAAGAAATAAATTTAAAAATTGTTTTTACAAGGTTTGAATAAAAATGAAATAAAAACCAATGAAATTGCCGTTTCTTGCGTTGCGTTATTTGAAAAACAATAGTATTTATTATTTTTAGATACATACATAGAAGAATAATGCTTGGAAATGTTATTTTTTAATTATATTGTTCTTGCAATAACATTCACATTTTTAAACTCGATATAAAATTATTTTTGATAGGTATGTACATTTTTAGCCAAAAAATAACGAAAAATTTAATTTTAAAAGTTAACAATAAACTATACAGTGTATATATTAATAACAAACAATGCTTTATAAGTCTGGACCTTTAAAAGTTAATATAAATTTCTCAGAACCGTTTCTACGATTTGTGGGGAAAATCAGTTTAACCACAAAAATGACATTTACTAAAGAACCCCTGGCACTGCACCCATCCCCACTCAATTTTTTTAAATTGCAACGCCCTTTTTGTGATTTCTTATTAGAAAGCCCTTAAAAATTGCTATTTAACAGTACTAAAAATATTATTTAATTTTTGAAAAATACGCAAAATAATTTGTATAATTATTTATTGTAATTTCTCCTTATAAATATTAAATTAAAACATTAAATATCAAATCAAACCATTTTGTTGTTGTAAAAACATCAGTAAAAAAAACTGGAAAACACAAAATAATTTTAATTTTTAGCTTTATAAATTAACCGCCTAAAATGACTGGCAGATAGCAGATCTTCAAAAGACCACAGATTTTAACTGACCCAATAAAAAAGTCTAATGGTATCAGATCTGCATATCTGGGAGGTCATTGGTTATTGGTCCTCTTCTACCAATTCACAATTCTGGTTAATTCTGATCCATCCAAGCCCTAACAGCAACTGCATAATGAGGTGGTGCCCCATCTTGTTGAAAATGTAATAAATTTTCATCCAAAGCTAGTTCATCATTCTCTCCTCTTTGATTTTCTACTTAATTTATTATTAGTGGCTGTATTGTTTCATCTAAAATTTCAAAATAAATTTGAATATTTAAATTTTGGTCAATAAATAAGGGACCAATAATACAATCTCCCAAAATACGTTTTTCAGAACACTGGGTAAGATTTTCTCTGAAGAGATGAAGATTTTCATTGCTCCAATAACGACAATTTTGTTTGTTAACATTTCCATGTAATTAAGAAGTAAACTAATATCTGAAGCAAATGTTTTTTAGTATTTGAATCTGATTTGTTATTTTATTGCTCATGATTTCATAAAATTCCAAACGCTTATCTGCATCATCATCGCCAAGTTGTGTAACATTTGTGGTGGAATTTGTGATGTTTCAACACCTTCCTAACAGACTCAAGGCAAGGCCCTGTTAATCTAGATGCAAAACAGAGTGATATTGTGGGGTATACACCAAACTGACCAAGAACCTCAATATTCATTGAGTATCTTAGGTTATTTCAATTTTGCAACCAGCCCTTGAACATATTTATGGCGCACATTTTTGCCAGGGTGTGGGTCATTAAATTCCAGTTCAGCTGTTGTGTAAAGCATTTTGGAAAAGAAACAATACTATTTAAAACATTAAAACTAATCAGCAGTTTTTATAAATCTGATACAAAAAACACTATTTTATTGAGGATTGTTTAATAATGCCAATATAGAACAAAAAAAATTTAATATTAATACTTAATTTAATTTAAAAAACTAAAAATTTAAGTGTTTTGATTATTGTTGAACAATTTGTTTATTTTTTCCTTTTTTAGTTTATTATACTTTTGTTGGACCTAATGTTTTACGACAACAAAATGGTTTAATTTGATATTTATAACAAAAAAGTGGAATAAATAATTGAATCGGTGAGTGAAAGAAGGGTCCAAGTGCAGAAACATACTATTTTCAGGAAAATAAAAAAAGTAATTATTTTAAAAAGGAAGGAGAATTTTATGTTAGTGTAAAACAGGAAACTTATCTCTTATGCAACTTGAAGCTGTTTTATAGAAAAATAGGATTTATAACTAAACTGCGCACCACTCAATGTGTCGCGACCAAAAAGTTCGTCCTTTTTCAAAACGACATAGCTTTTTTGTTTCTTGAACGATTTTATTTTGGTCTGTGATGTCTGCTAACCCCATCCATTGGCAATTTATGCTATAGATATTAAGCATACGGTTCTTTAAGTAAATTTCCTACAGGGTGATAATGTAAAACGGTTAAAAATTTCAATAACTTCATCCAAGCCCCGTTTGTAAAACAATAATTTTTTTTTCGTTTTCACTTTGAAATAATGAAGATTGTTCCTTGAATAATTCTGAACAAGCGACAAGCAACAAACTTCCTAAGCAAAGACCACTTTTTCAAAATGACATTTTGGTGAAAATTTGCGAAAACTAAACCTGAACCGATATTTACGTTCATGACATGTTTTATTTATAATTTTGACCTCCTGATTGTAATTCAGTTGTGAAGTTTAAGATTCAGATTAAACCAAAATCATCAAAAATCAAAATTCGAAAACAATTCTCTGTTGTTAAATGTCTTAATAAAATCCGATTGCTGTCGTGTTTCTTGCATATTTATGATGAAAATGCCATTTGGGTATTCATTTTTTGGGCGAAATTACTGCAATTTGTTTGAGTGGTTAGGATAATGTTACATAACTTACATTTACATTGCGCAGTCACCTAATTTATAATAAAGATAAATAAAAATATTTTTGTTTATTTTTGAAAATTGTATGCGTAGATATGATCATAATCAAAACTTCAACATTCAACAGAAAAATGTAACAAACAATAACAATAATACCTTTCAATATTTCGTTGGCCCTCCCCTAAGCCGTAATAATTCGTTAACCCTCCTGGGCATTCCCTTGACCAAATTCCTTAGAAATTTCTGGGGTACCCCATTCTTCCTGAATAGCATTTACCAATTCATCCAAATTTTCCATGCCTCCTTCCCTCTCTTTCATCTTCAATTTTATCCTGCTCCACACACAGGATTCATATCCGGAGACAAAGGTGGCCAATTCATTTTCTCAATATGATGGTTCCTTAAATACCCATTTACGATATGGAAAAAAACAATAAAAACCAGCAATCGGATTTTATTGATACATTTAACAGCCGGGAATTGTTTTCGAATCTTGATTCTTAGTGATTTTGGTTTTATCTGAAACTTAAATTTGACAACTGAATCACAATCAGGAGGTCAAAATTATGAAGAACGGTATTAAATTATGGAGGTCGTTTTAAGAAAATGGCTATTTCACTTTGAAATTTCAAAAATGGTCACTTGGACCCTTTATCCACTCACCGACTCAATTTTAAAAAATTTTTTGCGTATTTTTAAAAAATTAACTATTATAATAATATATTAAATAACTAATCATCATCGTCATAAGACGTCATTTTACCTTTGACCTTCGTCGCTCGTTTTATAAATTGTCCGCATGCGACAAAAGGTCTTATGACATGAGTTCTTTATGCTATTTTATCTATTTTGCGAAAATTCTATGAAAAAATTAATTTTATACCTTAAATTTAATTTGGTCCAATTTTACTTAAGATATTTGGTATCACAGTCATTGGTTTGACAGTTAATGTCAAAATCGATTCGCCATGATGTCCTTTATTTTTATTTACAATAAGCGACTGTTAATGTTAAAGAAGAAAAAAAGAATATTCTTTGGTGTTAAACAAAATTTATTGCCAGAAAAGTCTCGTAAGTACTAGAAAAAACATAAAAATATTATAACCGATATGCAAAATATTATGCTGTTTAAAGTATAGCCAACCTATAAAATCAAAATTTTGGGTGGGATAAAGTATCTCATTACAGCACCGAAAGCGGTGTTATAATGAAGTCATTATGAACGCAAAATAGATAAAGTATTTTTTTTAGTACTCTTAAATAGCAATTTTCAAGAGCTTTCTAATAGGATATCACAAAGAATGGGTTGCCATTAAAAAAAATTAAGTTGGGGTGGCTGCAGGCCCAGGGGTTAATATGACCTCAAAAATGACCTTTACTGATTTCCCCCTCATATCCTTAAAACGGTTTTGAGAAATTTTTTATTACCAGAGCATTGCTACTAAACCAGATATTTGAACAGCATAACACACGAGAGAAAATAATCATTGGGACTCTATATTCACGAATTGTTAATGGCTTTACATAATATTAATATTCATATTTGGCGCAGCAGCGGTGGTGGGCACAACATATGGACAATTTCAATAATGCAGGACAAACATTTTAGACTCACTCGTGCATTAATTTCATTGATTATTCCGTTTCGTGCCTCCTAATTTGTGCCGGTCAGAATTTTGATTGGTAATTGGAGGGAAATTAAAGTAAAGCACCCACCCATAACCAATAACGAGAACCCATTCATCAATATTCGTAGTGCAAAATACAGCTAGTTAGTAATAACAAGCATTAATACAAAGAACTTTTAATCATATATGTATTAATTAGCTTTTACTTCAGATTATTTTTAAGAGGGTTACTGATGTAGACGAATAAATAATAAAATGTTTATTTATCTAAAAAAAAAATAATAATAAAATTAGGAACTTTAAAACTACATTTAGGTTTATAAGTAAAAAACATTGAAACATATTTTAATTGTTTTCTTTGTTTTAGTGTCATTATTTTGATTTTGAAGAAGACCTGGACTTTCCGCCTGGAGCAGAGTGCATGATGGATCACAGCTCATCCTGCTGTATACAATAACATAACCGAAGTTAAAGGCTGAATTAATAGAATACTACTTGCTCCACCTTTTGTATAAATATTCCCCCCACCCCTCGAAAAAGAAACCCTGAAATAAATGCGTGCTATCGCGCAACAATGATATATTGGGATAAATATTTAGAAGATTTTTATCTTTATAATCTCATCGGTTTTTGTTATATTTGATACCAATGGCTTTTTATCGTAAATAGGATTTAAATTTACATATTTTTGTAAATCTCCTAACAACAAAAGTTTTGTCTTATTTTTTTTTTAGATTTCGGCCTCGTTAATTGTAATTTGTCAGTGTAATTAATTTATTAATAAGACATTTTTATAAAATGCATTATCTTCAAAATCAAGCTAGGTTACCTAGAAAATTTATTTTGTTTTAAGCTTAACATTCTAAAAATGTACAGAACTATAAACTTTTAAAATATTATATTACTCATAAATTTTAAATTGTTTTTGAATTTCGTTATCCTGTTCATTCCAGTTAAACTCGCACAGACAAGAGCAAATGGACAAATTATCCTGTGGTTCGATTAAGGTTTTCCGAAAACATAGAAATACTATTTGCAATGTACCGCAAGCTATTAACATGCAGATTCTACATTGTAGACAAACATAGACAAACAACAATTGATTTACAAACGTAATTCGTTTTAACGACGTTTCTTTCATTTTATGTTTTAAATGCTGAAAATTTGGTACTCAACATTTACATTGTATTTTTTATCCCAAGTGTACTTTAACTTAAAATAATAAATGTGGGCACGCACCACAGTTAAAAAATGCAATTTTTCTGTTGCAGACCCGATTATAAGAGGGGCCCACCCAAGTAGCATTTATAGTGGTTAAAATGTGTTGGCCACTTATACTTGGAACTGTAAAGTATATTGCCAAAATCTCTGCCACGTGGTAGAAACGGTTCTATTACGTAAGTAACTAAAATGGGGAACACTTTTTTAGTGTCAGTTACGTTCCAACAACGTTCTTGAATTGTATACAGACACGTTAATACCACTTTGTGATTACGTTACTAAAACGTAATAACTTAATCATAACTTTACTAATCTTTACTTTCTATCCCCGTCTCTTTCCAGCATATTATTTATCTTATTATCTTTGCTTTCTCTGACTGGATATTAAACTAACACTGAATTATAATATTGTAAGAGTACAACTTGCAAATAATAACTAGAAATAAAATAGTCCAAAGACATAAAATTAACAGGAATTAAATTTTACTATTAAACATGAGTATCATAGCTTGAAATATAAGCACGCCCTGTTGAAATATGCGGTAATAAAAAAGAATAAAAAAAAATGAAAATGAAATTAAATTATATATTGAATATTAAACAATAAATATTGAACATTGAAGAAATTTAAAGTTTTATTTTGTTGTAATTAGTATAGGTTTAGGAAGGGACCAAATGTAATCACCCATCATGGCTGCATCTCAGAAGCCGTGATACCGCCGCTCCATAGCCTTCATTTGCTGGTGAAACGTTCTCCGTGCTCATCACTTACGTCGCCCAGATTGTGCGGGTTATTAACATTTTACTTCTTTTACTCATTTTACACTTTTTATTAAATAAAACCATGATAAAAATACCTTGTTGAAATATCAAAAAATATCAGTAAAATGTCACTATGCCAACACGAGAAACAAAAGAATTCACGTTTTGCGGAGTCATGTCAAATTTAAATTATGAATAATGTTTTCGGTAAAAAAAGTACGTAAAAACTCAAAACATTCCAATTATGCACTTTATTTAGGTTTTTATTAAAGAATAAACATATAACAAAATAAAAGAAAAAAATAAAAGAAAAATCGTCAAAAAGCTGAATTTTGGTCTTCCACTAAAAAGTTCATAACTTCGCCATTTTTCCATATATTTTTATCAACATTAGCTTGTTTTTTTGTACAAATGTAAGCTTTAGGAAAAAAAATTAAACTGGAGTTATCTGTTTGATTTAAACCTTTCCCAGGACGATATGTAAATTTTTGATCTCAATTTTTGCCATAAAAACAATTAAAAATTCATATTTCAAAAACGCTTCCATAAAAAAAATTGAGTATGATTTTCGTGTTTAGTGGGTCAAAATACATGGAAAAATTATAATGGAATATGGTAGGCAGAATTTTTTTTAGATTTTGTAAACTAGTGTAATTAATAGTCATTTTTATGTAAAATATTTTACATATTAATTAATTAAATGTTTAAAATGTTCTATATTATTCTGGTCTTACTTTTTCAAAAAATTTTGGTGTGATGTTCCGGCATGCTTCAACTATTCGATGTCGAAGATCTTGTAGATAAACTTACGACTTAATGTATCCCCATAAATAAAAGTTCAATGGGGTTAAATCTGGTGATCTTGGGCGCCACTCTAACGGAAAATGCAAGTTAAGCCAATTTCTGACTGGGAATGCATAATGCGGTGGTGCAACGTCTTGTTGGAAGTAAAGGTTCTCCTCACTAAGTATCAGGTTTCCATCCCTATAGGGATGAAAACCTAATATATCTAATTAATACATCAATAGTATCTTCTAGTAAATTTAAGTAATTATCTCAAGTGAGATTTTCTTCATTAAAAATTGGGCCAACAATTTTATTTTCCAAAATTTAATTTTTGAGGGTGGTGAATATCCTTCACTGTAAAAATGTGAGGATTTTCATTACTCCAGTACCTAGAATGTTGCTTATTGACCTGTGTGTTTGGGTAAAACGTGCATTCGTCTCTGAAACAAATATTTTTAAAAAGGACAGTTAATAACAGTTTAACGTGCAACAATTTTAGTTTTAAATCAGTCTTAGGAAATTTTTATTTTTAAAACGTTTTGAGGTATTGCAAACAATTTTTTAAAGTATCATAATTTGGTGGCAAATTAAATAACCATAAATTAATTTTTCTAAAAATTATGTGAAAATTAAATTGAATGTTATAAACTCAAATTTGCAAATTTCAAATTTTCTAAATTGATCTAAGGGCTTAATTATTATGTGCCTAGTATGCCGAGCATATGCCTTGCCTGTTTCAAGCACGTGCAGGGCACAAGAAGTGAGAATCAGCCTTTAGAATCGTTTAATTTTTTGTTTTTGCAAATTTTAATTCTAGATAAAGATATTTGCATTAGAGTAGGCCAAAATAATTTTCTTTTTGAAATCCAATAACATAGGCCCTTTAAAATTTGTCAACTTGTTAGAAATTTGATTAATATCTTCAGCCTCTGCAATTACCTTTATAATAGTGTTTGTCGTAGAAAAAGTATAGTATGCAACTCGTTTACAAACTTTTTGGACACTTGATTAATTTAATTTAATTAAAATTCGTGAATAAAACAGAGCTTATCAAACTTGATACATAATATACTAATATTTATTATGTTTATGTAATAAAGTTTTTTAATCCAATTTTAAATTTAAAATTGTAACCCACACAAAAATATTTACCATTCAAAAAAATCACTGGCTTGTAAATGTTAACACCCAAAATGTCGACACTAATAAATTGAGAGCAAAATGCAAATACAATTCCATTGAGTTTCCATGTCAAATCATATTATACTATGAAACATAAAAAGTCATTGGTGCGTGTTCGCAATCCTTTTATGTAAATATTTATTATAGATTGTTATACGAGTATCATTTCACATTTAACAGTATCATGTTTAGCTGAATTCATAACACTTTTGCTGCAAAATCATTTTTATTAAGTGTTTTTATGTATAAAAAAATATTCTACAATTTTTATGATTAATATTTACTTTCATTCAACATTAGTCATATTGTTAAAATGTTAATAGTAATACGTTGTATTTTTATGTTTTGTAAAATAGTAACTTAATTAAAAATATTTCATATAGTATTATTCACTTACATACACAAGTAATTAATAGACATGTAGATTTATTATATTTACATATATTTTTGTAAATATAAAATAAAAAATGTTATTTAAAAAAACAGTTATTTTCTTTTTATTTTTTATGAAACAAATATTTGCAATAATCCGTGGCGTTTTAGTCATAGGTTGAAGTTGGCAACAGTTGCATTCGGGATTTTTAGTCACGGGCTGAAGTTAGCTTGATTAGAAATTTGTCGATAGATGTCAGATGTAAAACGAATGGTTAACAAATAACATTATATTTAAATTCTTTTTTGTACGACGAGTAGGTACATAAAGTAGTTGTTTATTTAATTTTCTATAGGCATTTATATTAAACACTCGCTCGCAAGCGTTGCTCGTGCTTAATTAAAACTTGTGACTTTAAAGCCGTTTATCAAATATTTGTTTTTTATTATAATTTTATTTTAAAATTATTCAGAACTGAAAATAAATTTATACAGGTTGGCATAAATTAACCTTATGAATAAAATGCTCCATAAGTTATAGACTATAACTTTTGTAACTGTCAATTATAAACATAATACATAAATAGTAAGTATTGTTTAATTTAACAATGTATTTTTAATTTTTATACATAATAATATTTTAACATTTTTTTATAGTTTACAATTACAAAAGTTATAAATGATGTTTTACGTCACCCTGTTTTATTTAGGTAATAGTTGATAATTTTTATTGTACAGGCACTAACTAAAAAATATTGACACATTAAAATTAAAAAGAATTTATTCGTATGTACTCACATGTTGTAAATACTGTTTTTATCTAATGTATAAATCGAATTCTAAATAAAATTATGCCAAATAATTTATTAAAGCTTATTTTCAATGTTTTAAAGTGTTTATTTTTCTTCCCACTAATACGTTTTAATTTAATCGAGGTAATGACTTAATTGCAAAAATATAGATATTTAGGTAAAACTATATTTTATAAAAGTTTTATTTTATTAATTTTTTAATTTATAAAACTTTTTATAATATTTTTATAAAATAATTGTGGTAGTCAATACTAAACGTTTGGGAATGATTACCAGAGCAACTCCCCAATATTGTTTTTTTATGAATCGGCTATGCATTTATGCTTTGTCATTTTGTGTCAATTATCTTGTTCATTTTATTGATTATAGTTGAATTTTGGTAAATTATTTAATTATTTAATTGTGTATATACAGGGTGGCCCATTAAAAACAGTCCAGTAAGCTTTACGGCTTTGTATGTAAAAATAAAAAAAATTCAGGGGGACTTATTTAAACATTAATTTCATTACTGTTACTTCAACCCCTTAGCGGGGCTGGCATTCCCCCTTATTTTTTCAAATCAGAAATTAGTCAAAAATTACTAATTACTACTGTTATTAGTGGCTGCTTTTTCACTTATACCATGGGATACCATGGTATCCCTGACATTATTGTCAATTCTTATGTAAAATCGTCCCCTGAATCCGAAAATACTGTCAAAAATTATAAA